CATCACTAACTCCATCAAATTATCAATTCATCAATGAAAGAATCTATGAATATTTTTACCTGTACGTATGTGTTGATTGGTTTTTGCTTTATTGTTGATGTCGCTGGGGCAGAGGAAGAAGACACTGTTGAAGGAGTATGAGCAGAGTAATAAGTCTTCCGTGTTTGTTGATAAGCGAATTGGGGAGCAGAATGAAACTCTTGGGGAGTTTGATAAGGCTATTATGCGTTCTCAGCGCGAGCGTCAGGTTTGTTCTGTGGTTTTTTCATTTCTTATTTCTTTGGATGGAAGTTCTCATACGCTACATTACTTTCCCCTTTGTTTCTTTTTCACTTTTTTGATTCTGTAGTTGGCGCTGAGCAAGAAGAGCAAGTACAATTTATCAGATGGAGAAGAAGATGATTTTGAATTTCCAGGACTTGGTCCCCTTCCAGAAAGGGATGATTTTGAGGATGAAATGTTGTCTGATGATGACAACGATGATGGTGATGGTGGAAAAAGTAAGTCTTGACTCATTTTTCTTGAGTAACTTCCTGTTACTGATGCTAGCGGCTGCATTGTTCGTTACTTTGCCTTGAGTGAGTTTTCAGTAGTATATTGATTTAGAATCTCATGTGTCTTCAAAACTCCAGGCTCTAGTTTCCCCACCCAATTTGTGGTTTACACAATGGGATTATGGCGCTAATTTTGATTGACATCAGTTAGTTTCCACTGGGATTCTCTTGTTGCTTCATATTCCATCTGATATTTGTTTTCGATGAAATGTGGTGGAAGGGAATTCCACTCCTTCTATAAAAATCAAATTGGATGTCTCTTATGTGTTTGTTGTAACTTAATTTCTATGAAGATACGAACTATGGTGTCTTCACTGTATTTTTCTCCTTTGGAGCAGTGCTAAATGTACCAGCTTCTTTGCAGGGAATTCAGCCATATTAAAGTCACTTAATTCTCAGGAAGTGAAAAATCCATCAGAAGGAGAGTTAGTAGAAGGAGAAGAAAATGTAAGCCTAATCCATATCCCAAGTGGTCTGAAATTGTATATGAACAGAAAAATTATTGTCATTTAGTTAGAAAATTTTCCATCCAAGACATTGACATTCATGCTGCTTTTAATTAAGAATCATTTCTTGCTCAGTCCAATTTGATACTCTGGCCTGCAACTTTTTAGGATTAGGATTGTTTATAATATCTTCCAGGCTGCAGTAACAATTGTGTTGCCATCTCTTTATTTCTCCTACCTGCATGGGATAAACTTTTGAAATAATGGGACGGCATAGCTGCTTTTCTTCTGTTACTTGTATATTTCTGACTAGAAAACACCAGCATAGTCTAAATTGGCAACTTACTACCCTTTTCACCCCGAATTTAAGTAATCTACTTCAATTATTATTTGATTATTACTTTTGGTGGCAAGGAAGCGATTTTACATAGGTTGGAAGTGACTTAACATGTATACATTATCTACCCGTGGTTCCTTGCTCTCATGCACCCATGCATATGCATTTGTTATTGGATGTGAAATCATACACTTGACCTGATTCAGATTGATGACTTCCTTACTGCAGAAGCATAAGAGCAAGAAGGAAATAATGGAGGAGGTTATTTTGAAGAGCAAATATTTTAAGGTGAAAAGTTAAAAATGCGTTGTACTTGTTGAAACTTTAACTATATTTTCTAACTGTATTTGCCTCCTGATTTTAATCTTTTTGTTCCTTTTGTTTTATTTGTATCTTTCTATTCCCCACCAGGCACAAAAGGCAAAAGATAAAGAAGAAAATGAACAGTTGATGGAAGAACTGGATAAGAGCTTCTCATCTTTGGTTCAGTCTCAGAAGTTAGTATCCCTAACAGAACCAAGAAAGATGAATGCCCTGAGAGCCCTCATGAACAAAGATCTCCCCATTGAGCAACTGAAGAAGGATAATATACCTGTTACTCAAAATGCAGAAACTTTTCAGCAGGTTAGACAAGAATACATCTTTCTTTTTTAAGTAACCTTTATCCTGTTTCATATGAATATTTCGGATGCAGGCATCTCTAGAATGTGTAGTTTCCAGCATTAAAATTTTTTTAACTTTATCTGACAGGATCAACCTGATTCTTATGATAAACTTGTTAATGAGATGATATTGGATATGCGTGCTCGTCCGTCAGATAGGACAAAGACACCTGAAGAGATTGCCCAGGAAGAAAGGGAACGACTAGAGCAACTGGAGGTATGTCTTTCTTCATACTCGGTCAATTATAAATCTGTTCTTGTCTAAGCTAATGTGTGTAACATATGATGATCTGCAGATGCTGCAGTTTTTGCTGCAGTACATGTACTGTGCTGTTTGTTATTTGAGCGTTTGAATTAAATTGAAATAAAAAAACTCAACTTTAACTCAATAAACTACAATTCAATTGTAGATAAGATAAATTAAGATTGGACAAGTATAAGAGTTATAATTTTGATGTGTAATCTCAAAACAGAATAAACTGAAGTGTAAATGTTTCTGATTTAGCATCAGCAGTGTTTTATTGTTGTTAAGCCTGTGCAAGCAATTAGAATCTGTTTTACGGCATGTGCTTCAATGGCATTCAAAAATTTCAGGAGGAACGTCAGAAGAGGATGCTGGCAACCGATGACTCCAGTGATGATGATGGTGAAAATGTTGAGAAGGAATCAACCCAGAGGCTGAGGGCGATTTCTGGAGATGATCTTGGGGATTCCTTCTCAGTTGATGAAGAGACTGGAGCTAAAAAGGGGTGGGTTGATGAAATTCTTGGAAGGAAGAGTGCAGAAGATTCTGAGAGTGAAGATGATGAGGATGGTTCTGAAGATTTGGAAGGTTCTGAAGATTCAGAAGGGTCAGAAGATGATGTGGATGAGGAAGGATCCGAAGAAAATGATGATGATCGAGAGAGGACTCTATCTTTAAAGGATTGGGAACAGAGTGATGATGACAACCTTGATACAGATTTCGAAGAGGATGAAGAAGGGGACCAAGGGCATGATGAAGCAACAGATCATCAAGAAGATGTAGAGCAAAGACACAGTAAAAAGTCAAAGAACATTGATGTTAGGAAGGAAGAAAGAAAGTCTTCAGATACAAAGGTGAAGAAAGCAAAAAGCAAAGACTCTACAACTCAACAAAATATTCCCTTTGTAATTGAAGCTCCAAAGAGTTTGGAAGAACTTTCTGCTTTAGTGGAGAATTGTTCTAATGCTGATGTTATTGTGGTCATCAATCGAATACGGGCAAGCAATGCAATTAAGCTAGCTGCAGAAAATAGGAAGAAAATGCAAGTATGTATCCCTGGTCACTTCACTTTTTTTTATTCAATTTCTAATCGTTGGTTGTTTCTGTCTCCCTGGATTCTGGCCCCCACATACGTAGGTGCACCTTAGATTTTCACCAATTGACTTCCAGATCCCTTATAGATTGTCTTTCCTTTTCTCTGAAGAGTGAGGTTAAGCTTCAACTAATAAAGCTAGAAGTCTATTTTTTTTAATGATAAAATCCAGCTGAGTACTATGCTTTTGATGACTGAAATCTTAGTCTTGTTTCATTTTTCTGATGCAAGCTTTTTTTATATGAAAAGCAATTGAAAGAGGCTTGTGATTTGATCAGTGGAGGAGCTTGATTACTGTTTCTTTTGTTATCCGTTGCCTGAGTTCTAACATAATGATTCTCATATTTTTACCTTTTATCTTAAGTGATAGAATATAAGGAGCATATTATCAAGCTTATATCTTGATCAGTAAAAATAAATATACCTCTTATTTTTCAGGTCTTTTATGGTGTACTGCTGCAGTATTTTGCCATCTTAGCTGATAAAAAGCCATTAAATTTTGAGTTATTGAATTTGCTTGTCAAGCCTCTCATGGAGATGAGCACTGAGGTTCCATACTTTGCTGCAATATGTGCTCGTCAGCGAATATTACAGACTCGAACAAAATTTTGTGAGGCTATCAAGAACTCAGGTTGTTGATAAATTGATTTAGGAGTTATAAGTTTTTTCAGCTAACCTTCTTTAGCTTACTTCATCAATTGATTTCTAACTACATAATTTTATTTTGCAGAGAGTGGATGTTGGCCAAATATGAAAACATTGTTTCTCCTTAGGTTATGGTCAATGATTTTTCCATGCTCTGATTATCGTCATGCAGTCATGACCCCAGCAATATTACTGATGAGCGAGTATCTGATGCGTTGTCGTGTTTTGTCTGGTCGAGATGTGGCTGTTGGTTCTTTCTTATGCTCCATGGTTCTTGCGGTATATTTACTGTTCTCTTTCTTTTTTATGCTTTTCTTTGTAGTTTCACTAGTTTGTACTGGCAGATTATTTATGTAATTGACCTTTTCTTAGGTTGCTAAACAATCTCAGAAGTTCTGCCCAGAAGCAATAATGTTCCTCCGAACCCTGCTGATGGCAACTACAGAACAAAAACCTGCATCAGATCAGGATTATTGGGTATTATGACACCACTATTATAGTTTTGTAAATAAACAAAATGAGTGACAAGAGAGTAAAACAAAAGAGAAGAGAAAGAATGCTGTGTTCTGTGTTGCATGACAACTCTCTCAGATTTACCAACTTTATGGCAAAAACTAAATAGAAGAATTCAATTAATCTGTTTAACTATGTTTGCTTCTGCACTATATTTGAGTAAAATCTTAACAAAATTTCCAAATTATCAAATTGGTTTCCAGAGTTTTCTCTTGCAATTTATTTGGATTAAAATAAATGTGATGGATAACTGTTTCCTTGCTGACTTTTTTTATCAGCTTATGGAATTAAAAGCACTTAGACCTCTGCTGCATATACATGGTAGTGTGAGTGAGATCAATCCTCTGAATTTTCTGATGGTAATGAATATGCCAGAGGACTCTGCATTTTTCAGCTCTGACAATTTCAGGTTAGTAACTAGTGATTTTGTTTAAGAGTTAAACTTGACAAGGAGGTGAAGTTCTGATGTTATTCACTGGATTCCTTCTACAAAACCTGCCAGTTTATGGGATTTTTTTTTTCTTTCTCTTTTTTTTTTATAAAAAAAGGGGGAAATTGGGTGAACATTTAAAATTTTCTACTTATGCCTGATTTTGCCACATGATGATCCCTTTTGTTAAAGTGGTTTTTGGTAGCATGATGAGATCCTGTGACATCGTTTGGTCGAAACCTTGATCAGTATATTACGGGTTCTGGTGTCGTGTCTAACTATTGAGATCTGTGCCCCAGCCACTATTTGAGCATGTTTTTATTATCCTCTTCGACTGTCCCCATGCAAGTATTTTTTTAATGGAATAAATTTTGAATTTTCTTTTACAGGGCTAGTGCACTGGTAACCATCATTGAAACCCTGCGAGGATTTGTTGACATCTATGATAAACTGAGTTCCTTCCCTGAAATTTTCTTGCCAATTTCAACATTGTTACATGATATCTCACATGATGAAAACATGCCAGAAGCACTAAAAGTAAAATTTAAGGATGTTGCTGATTCCATTAAGAAGAAAGCTGATGAATTTTATGCTTTGCGGAGACCACTTCAGATGCGAAAGCAGAAGCCAGTGCCCATCAAATTACTTAATCCAAAATTTGAGGAGAAGTACTCTCTCTTTTCTCTTCTCTTCTATTTTGCCGCCTGCAGCATCTTAATTATCACTAGCACTACTTGTTAGCCTTATACTTTGAGTTGAACAGCATCTTATGATCATGTTATTCTGCAGCTTTGTTAAAGGCAGGGATTATGACCCGGATCGTGAAAGAGCCGAGAGAAGGAAATTGCAGAAACAAATAAAACGTGAAGCAAAAGGTGCAGCGCGTGAGCTGCGCAAGGACAACTACTTCCTGTATGAGGTGAAGCAAAGAGACAAGGTACTAGTTGAGGAAGAACGAGCCGAGAAGTATGGTAAGGCCAGGGCTTTCCTCCAAGAACAAGAAAATGCCTTCAAATCTGGACAGTTAGGAAAAGGCAGGAAGAGAAGAAGATAGAGATGTTCAAAATTCTGCACCACGGCATGGACAGGATGCAGTTAAAGATAACATCTTCCCATGTACCTATTTCTTTTTCCGCAGGGTAGTAAAATCTAGCCTAGAAAATTTTCCACAGTGCCAATTTTGACTTGTAATGGAATTTGTATTCCACAAAATATTTATAACTTCAAGTCCTGGTGATTACATTTTTTTTTTCATCACTAATTGTACATTAAACTTAAGTTGGTGGTGGCCGAAGTGTATCCCCCGTCAACAACAAGATTATGTCCGGTAATGAATCCGGCCTCTTCACTGGCCAGGAAGAGGGCGGCGTTCGCTATGTCTTCTACTCTCCCAGCTCTGCCATGCAACAAGCTTCCTCTTTCCCCGATGATTTTACTTATTTCTTCGATACTTAGATCTGCATTTCCCATAAGATGTCTGTATGCAGCCACCAGCATCTCTGAAGGCACTCCATGAGGTGAAATGCAATTCACTCGAATTCTGTGCGCGCCCAACTCACACGCCGTCGTTCTCACCAGTCCGATCACGGCAGCTTTTGACAATGAATAGGCGTGAGCTGCCAGGCCTCCCATGATGGCCGCAGAGCTCGTTGTGCATATGATGGATCCTTTGATATGCCCTCCAATCATGGCTCGAGCAGCATGCTTCACTCCATGCACCATCCCGTGCAGGTTGATCGAAAGCAACTGCTTCAGCTGCTCCATGTCCATCGCGGTTATGCTGCCTCCGAAGCCACCAATACCGGCGTTGTTGAACATAATGTCTAGTTTGCCTTTCCATGCAAGTGCCAGCTTCACGGCAGATTCCACATCTGCTTCCTTCGCTACGTCACAGTGTATGTAAAGGCCTCCTATGGAGTTGGCAAGTTCCGTGCCCAAGTCATCAAGTATGTCAGCAATGACGACGTGAGCCCCGTCTCCGGCGAAGACTTTTGCCGTTGCAGCTCCGATCCCTCTTGCACCCCCAGTTATGACAGCAACTTTGTCCTGCAACCTAGCAAAATCAAACATACATAACTCAGAATCATAAGTAATCCCATCAAACATACAAAACATTATTACCTCTTTGAAGATGAACTTTTTGGTTCATCATGCACAAAAATACTTTGCTCCATTGCATCCATATCCTTCGCTTGTTTGGTTGTAAATGGGATGAATGGAGTCATATATAATGCTCTTTCAATGTCAATTTTTTAAGGTGACACGCATTTGTAATTCCACCAACAACCTCCAAACTAAAAGCCTATCAACCATATGCATTTCTCTTCATCTCCAACTACCTCCAAACTATATACAAGACATTCCTTCTTTTATTATTGAAAGTAAATGTTTATTTATTTTTATTTGTAGTAATTATACATACATATTGCAATAAGCAAGAATAATAGAAGACAAGATTTATTAAATTCATCACTAAATTGTAAGTTTAAATAGTCCTATTTATTATTATAAAAATTATTTTGTAGTGTAATTTACAAAATATAAATGCTTAAATAAAAAATCATTTTTTTGATATTAAAATTTTTTTATTTAAAAATTTTTATTTTACAATCTAAATATAATTTTGACTATGAAATAACATACTCTTATTAATAATGGAGAAATTTGATTAATTAAACAATTGTACCTTATTTTAACTAAATAATTCATTTTATGAATAAAAAGATATTCCATTATTTGGTTGGGTCAAATTTGGTCTCTTTCTAGTCCAAAGTCCAACTGCCTAAGTGAGAAGTCAAACCGCAGTAAAGAAGGTAACAAACTTATCTACTCTAATCCCTAGGAAAAAGGAAGGGCTCTGATGAATCCCTCACACATACAACTCTTTTCTACCGTCCGATCTCAACAACTCCAAAGCTACCTCGGGACGTTCCCTTCACCTCCCCCTTCGAATTTGAGCGCCAAAAGGGTGCAGGACTGAGCCAGAGCTTCAAGAAACTTTACTCAGTCAATGCGTCGAACACCTTCCACGCAAAATCAAAATCTTGGAGAGAATCCTCAAGAGTCACGATGTCTATCCCAATTCTCGAGACCTGCCGGAAGAGGAAGAGACGGCCGAGGCTGTTCTCCTTCCACACATTCGCTGACCCCGGTTGCCCCGTCGTTCCCACTGGTGTTTTCCGGGATAACATACGAGCTTTTCTTAAAGAATGTGCTGAGCCCGAGGAGTATTGCGTCAGGGGAATGCCCGTCTGGTGTACCCTTCTTGTTCATCAGAATAAGAGCTTTGTTGTTCCTCTGTACACTATCGAGGAGAATGTCTTTAATTCGTCACAACCCTATTGCGATCACTGCAAATCTACAGGTTAGAGTCTGTTTCTTGGTGCCCCAATTTATATTTTTGGATTAGGAAACAGGGTTTTCTTGTCTCGACATAAATCTTGGGTATTGGGGTTTTCTTTCTGGTTTTCAGGTTGGAGTTACCATTTTGTTTCAAAGAGGAAGTATCATCTAATTGTGCCTACTGATAGAGAGTGGAACAGGCCTTTAGATGATGGGGTTTTTGATCTTCAAACACATCTACTACATGGGTTAATTCATGGTAATGGTTTTGGTCACTTGATCTGCATCAATGGAATTGAAGGGGGGTCGAAGTATCTGTGTGGCAGGGAATTGATGGATCTCTGGAACCGCATATGTGAAAATCTTCGAGTAAGGTAGTAAAAACCCCTAATTAATATACTGAATTTTAGATGTACCAAAAATATATATATATATACTGAATTTTAGTAGAATCCCCTAACTGATTTTTTTGAATTAGGTTTGTACTTATTATAGGATGTTGAATTCTAAGCATTTCTTCATTTCACAGGAAAATCACAGTTGAGGATTTGTCAAAAAAGCATGGTATGGATCTGAGATTGCTCCATGGAGTAGCCTACGGGCGTCCATGGTTTGGGAGATGGGGCTACAGGTTTGGTAGTGGAAGTTTTGGGATTACACAGAGCCATTATGATAGGGCAACTGAAGTTCTGAGCTCTTTGGAACTTGAGAAAATTATTCATGATTTCACTGACAAAGAGCAATGCATGCAAATCAGGCAAATTGTCCGGTATTACAGAGATATAAGCGAGATCCAATTGATCACAATAAGAGACCTTTTACGGTTCATGCTAACTATCAAATCTTGTGCTCCTCAGCAGCAGAAATTGGCCTTAGCTACCTCAGCTTCTGCCCCAAAACATCACACTGGAATAGTTAAGAAGGGTGCTCTGAATGAAAAGTCTTCCTCCAGGTGTAGAAGATTCAGCACTATGATTCCTAATATGGACAGCAGATGGCCAGCTAGAAGGTTGGAATTTACAGCTGAGGTCATTGTAAATGCTTTAAAAGAACATAGGGAACAATCTGGATATGGTGGGATGACAAGGCAAGATCTCAGAGATGCTGCAAGGATGCACATTGGTGACACTGGTTTATTGGATTATGTTTTGAAATCGATGAACAACGTTATTGTTGGATGTCACGTGGTACGCCGTGCAGTTAACTCATCTCGAGTTTTGGAGTATACTATTGATGACATTTGTACTGGGGTTAAGATGACAGAACAAGAAACAGAGATGCATCCACCGCCTCTTGTAACAACTACACTGGTTCCGGGGAAAGATGTTTACAGCGATGTAGTTTATATGTATACTAATGTTCTCCTGGATTATCCAGAATCAGAGTTGGTGAGCTATGCCATTCAAGTGATTCTAGATGGCAAACAGTTCGTGAAGGAGTGGCCATTCAGAGATGCTGACGACCAACTTTTAAGATTCTTTTGCCAAGTGACCCCAAGTTTGTTTGATTTAGAACAAGAACTGGCAGGGAAATTGCCACCTGGAGAACTGGTAACAGTTCCATTGCATGCCACGGTATCAGAGCTTAAACAAGCAGCTGGAAAAGCACTGAGGGATGCCTATTGTATCATGGAAAAACTTGTGGTGACAGATATTGAGGGTCTGGAAGAAATGGAAGACGGAGATGTATTGTTTGGAGCAGTTGAGTCAGGTACAGATATTGTGGTCAGTGGTAGTGGAATTGATTTAAATTCTAAATTGAGGTATGAAGGTGGAGCTGAAAATTGGATGGTAAGATGTGAATGTGGTGCTCAGGATGATGATGGAGAAAGGATGGTGGCATGTGACATCTGTGAGGTGTGGCATCACACAAGGTGCTGTGGCATTGAAGACTCTGAGGATGTGCCACCTCTGTTCGTATGTCCAGGATGCTGCACTTATTTTGTGCAGCCAAGAAGTGAACCTGCATTCAACTACCTGGATTCTAATGATCCGCTGTTAAACCCAGAAACTGGATGTGGGATGAGCTCTATCGCAAACGAACTCTGTTGGAATTCTAGTTTGATATGCGAGAATTAGGTTAGTGCTAGCTGCATTGATTACCATTACTATAAGATGCAAATTCTGATTTTGGATATATAGGTTGATCATGATTCTCATCATCTCTCATGTATATGTTGATTACCAGGCAAAGGTAAGTTTCCCAAGGTCCCAACCAGAAGCAATATCCTGTTGTTGTAACAACTTGTATTACTTGTTCAATGAAATACATACCAAATTAAAGCCAAACTGCATTCAACTAGCTAGAAAAAATGTGTCCTTTGAGGTTTCACCCTTTTTTTATTTTTTATTTTTGTTTTTGTGTGTTTTGGTTGCTCAGATTGCAAAACTTGCTTTTCTTTTGTCTTTGGTTGAAGAATGGAAGGAGACGAATGGAGGAGCTGTCCTATTTGATTTCTTCTCAAATTCAATGACCTGAAATGGAAGTTTGATTCAATTAAAGTTTTATAGAAATGAAAGCAACAGGTAGCTCATTAAGTGTCTATTTGGATAAAAATTAATAAAAGAAAGAAAGGGGAAGAGAGGGGAAGAGAAGAAAGGAGAAGTGAAAGGAAGAGGTTGATGTTAATCTTGTTTTGATAGATAAAAGTGGAAGAGAAAAAAAATATAATATTTTTATTTAATTAAATTATTTTTAAAAATA